GATCCTGCATCTCTCTCTCTCTCTCTCTCTCTCTCTCTCTCTCTCATCTTCTCACGGTTAATCTTTGAGATAAATACAGATTAGTCAACATGCTGGCCAACAGTACCAGTGCTGTGCTTGAAAAGTAAGGCCAACATAACCTTTCCACTCTATTAACCTGACATTTCAGGAGTTATTACTGTTACTGATGTTGGATGCTTTTTTGAGTCAGTCACCAACTTTTGAATGGCCGGCAACGAAGAAAGATGCTTTTGACACAAAACTGTTCCAACAAGCTAACAGAAAGATTGAAATTATCTTTTCAAATGTATGAAAACATCGGCTGTCATCCAAAACCTGCCTTGCCGACTTACTTCAAGCTCACTGAACTTTTATTACTTTGAATTAACTGTTAATAACGGTTAACTATTTTATGTTTTGATACTGAACTATTTACATTTGACACTAAAAGACATTAAACATCTCGCCTTTATAATGTCACTTTACTTTCAGAACTCAGAAGTTCCAACCTCGTATTAAGACTCTTTTTGATAAAATGTCTCGATCAGAACTTCCACAACATTCGGGATGCACCGATATGAACATTTTGTAATGAATATGAACCGATAATTCTTAATATTTGAAAGCCGATAACCGATATATTGGCCGATAAATCTAAATCCAAATTTTTATGTCATTTTTGAGGCCCTGATTACAAAAACAAAAGTCTCACCATTAAAAGAAATGTCCCAAGCACACAATTATAATGTTCTCGTTATAATTTTATGTAGCCTATAATAGTCAAACACCAGATATAATTTTTTATATATTTTTTACTAGTGTGTGCAGGACACTATAGTTCATTTATGTGAGTGAGGAGAGCAAAATTAAAAGTAAACTGTGACATATTATATCCAAAAACTCTTCATACAGTGACTACCAGTAACATTCATACAAATTTGGAACCAAAAATGATTCCGACACTTTGAGCTGATCATGTTTTGCTGAAGTGTTTTTTCTTTAATTGCTAATGCTCTTTTTACACACAGACTGAAGAACATGAAGCATTGCTTGGTAATCGGTTGAGCTAAACTGGTATTATCTAATTGTGTAGTTAAATTTAACAGCTGACAGATACTCAACATAATTCATCTGTGAGAGTCTAACAGAAGGACGGACAAAACCAGTGAAATATCAACTGATTTGATCACTCTGAGTTCTTCTCATATTTACTACCATTTTCTAAACTATAGCGAATAAACTGTGATAATGTGAGAAATGTCGAAGTTGTCTGAATAAATTCAGATAAGATTTTTTATATATTGTGCATCTCTAGTACAAAGTAACATGTTGATTCATAGACTATCACAAAACAAACTTCATTTACAGTGTGAGACATGATAACGTTTCCCAAAAGCAGCGAGAGGCAGAGGTCTGAGCTAGAGGTCTTCACGGGTCCACTTGGATCCGAAAACCCGAGGTCCGACCCGAGACCCGAGCGGGTTCGGGTCCAAAACTCCGACGAGTGTCTCGGACACGGGTCGGGTTCGGTATTAGTGGCCTCGGGTCTCGGGTAATTTAAAATAAATATGCCTTTTCCAAATGGACCCGAGAAGACCCGAATTCTTTTAAACTATGTTGGGCATTTAAGAAAATTGCAGTATTTAAAACAACTTTATGACACCGTTCTCTCACTTTTTCTAAGTGAGAGAGCGAATCCGCGCTTCTACGTTCAAATGGGCTATAAGCATAAGCACGGTTGCCTCTGCATTTATTTACTCAGTTGCTCGCTCCACATAAACCAACCCTCCCTTTGCCAAGAAGAACTAGTGCGCCATCATGTGGATGGATGTTTGACTAAATGCAAGTATTTGAATTGTCGTTTAGCCAGGCCTGTCAATCAATTTTAAAAATACGCGACACTGTCAGAAAAGCATGGAGGCGATAACAGACATTGCGAAAAATGTCAGGGAAAACGAATGGTGGTTCTAATCATCGTATGGACCGGTAAATAACATTATGCCAAATTTTATAGGACGTAATGGGTTACAGTGATGTGTGATTGACATTTTAGCACTTCAGCGCGCTTACACTTGCGCGTCTATGTTAAGTGCATTTTTGAGAAACGCAGGGCTGCAGGCTGTGCACAATGTAAATGCCGTTTACGTTCGGGTCCAGTCGGGTTCTAAAGGAAATGGCGTCAGGTCGGGTCGGACTCGGGTATAGTTTTATCGGGTCTGTCTCGGGTCGGGTTTTTCTTTAAAAAAATATTAATTTATGCACGTCGGGTTCGGGTAAGTAGTGATTCGGGTCGATTCGGGTCGGGTACAGTTTTTAGGACCCGAGAAGACCTCTAGTCTGAGCAACACCAGCACTGTTATTGGATCAGTGTGTGCACACACTGCTAAGAGACCCACACACTATTCCCAGCACAAACAAGCGGAGACACGTCGTCCATCTTTTTTCTAGTCTATGGTCTGGAAATGTTGTGAAAGTGTCTTGAGCTTGTGTTCACCACAGACCTTATTCAGACATTTAACCAAAATCCCTTTCAAAAAACCCATTGGCTTTGGGACGATGGAGCCGGAAGTGCTAAATGCTAACTCGCTTCCGCCGTTTTGGCCAACAAAGTGATGTCATTCCTTGCACCACTCTGGTAGGACACATGATAATGACAACATGGCGGATAAACATCCCATATTCTTACTAGTCTTTACGTCAAAAATAAAAAAGGGGCATCAGTTTACTGTTGGAAATCTGTCTTGTCGCGCCGCATCCAGTCTAGACAGCATCACTGATTACAATGGGTCTCATTTAGGACTAGGGTTGCCACCTTTGATTTGTGAAAAACCGGGACACTTTGAGGGGGAGGGGTCAACCAGGGGCGTTTCCAGCTTTGAAGGACATCAAAAAAGAGAACAATCCCGGGAAAACCGGGACGGGTGGCAACCCTATTTAGGACCCAGGCGGTAATGCCTGATCAAAAGTTGTCATCATGATGTCTCAAATAATTATAACCTATTTAACTATTGTATGATTTCTATTACATTAAGTGCACAAAGAACATGATTGAAATATAAAATGAATGCCTATGTATTGCATAATAAAACAACTGTAAAGCAACCATACAATGTATCTTTTTTATAAGGATAATGATTGTTTTTAACATACTATGTTCTAAAATGCAAAAAAGTATGCACTCTAAAACTATTTTATTATAGATGGGAGATTAAGTTTCAACTTAATCTCCTATAGTAAAAGAGTTTTAGAGTGCAGACCTTTTTTGCATTTCCGCGTTTGACGCAAGGCTGCTCTTCAGTTTCCGGTTGGGGAGATTTAAAGCGGAGGAAAACCGAGGAAAGCGGGATTATGGCAGAGTCTTCAAAATTTACTGTCCTCTCGTCTTTGAAACGAAACTTTAATACGTTTAGATGTAATTTTATATATAGTTATGTTTATTTAATATAATAAACAAAGAAGCATAAACAAAATGAGGGGTGTCTGTTTTTGTGACTAACGTTTCTTTAGTATAGCAATAGAGTATAAAAACCAATATAAATTCTCGGTATAGCATTGGACTCTACGATCGGCGGAAGTAATCCAGCATCCTTAGACCTTCACCGGAAATACCGCCGTGCGAGCCCATATATTCTGTAAAAAATAATGATTTATTATTTTTTAATTAATTAATTGTCATGCCAAGTACACACAAACATCATTAATTTGAAACATGTAATTGGGAACTATATTGGAAGCTAAACACATATAATATAAACTAAGCGGCTAATCGGTATACTAGTACAAGCTAACGATAACTAAAAACAAAACAAAAAAACAGTAAGAACGAGAAATGCTTGATTTCACAACCTATAGCTTGAGTTATATACTATAAACCGTGTCATTCAAAATACATTAATGATCATTATAACGCATTAAATGATATAAATCATAACTGGATTTTGCAGGAACTTTAACGAGGCGCTGAAAATACTACCCATTTCGACCTGGGCCAGTAAACAATGACCAAACACCTTATAACACCTACCAAAAACCATGGTAACCACCTAGAACTTCATAGCAACTGGAGAGCAAAACATGTTAGCAACTGCTCTATGAACCGCACAGGAATCGAGTCAGAGAAAACCTTTTCAACCCACCTTTGCAGAGGTACGGACCACTCGTAACGTAAAGGCTTAGTTTTAGTATAAGTTTCATTTGCTATAACAGAGGCATGAAATAATCTTTTGAGAAATGCTCACTGACCCGAGTTTGTTTGATTGTGAAGGTTGTTTAGCGCCACCATCTGGACAAACATGTGCATCAACACATCATGAAGTACAGTCACACAGTCGCATGTTAGGAATGTAGAACATAAAAACATTTATTGAAACAGAGCTCGAGACATCACAAGGCATCGGGTGAAATGGAAAATCCTACACACTCCTCGATTCCCAGGCCACAAGATTCAAAACTCAAATCAGATTCATGTTTAAAGCACCCTGTAGCTGTTACCAACAACATCAAATCATAATGTTCCTTTACTGCATTCATACAAGGTGCTAAAACACACTCTGTTCATTGGCAAATAAATACACACATATGCATTAAACATAAATAGAAATAAATATGTTCACATACTAGTGCATACGGGAGACTCAGCATTTCAGTTTTATGTGATAAAGACGTCACTGTTAAAGAATGGTCAGTTCGTGTTGCATTAATGAACAATGAGATGCTGGAGTTCATACAAGAATGACAAACTAAACAGAAAACGAGCACTTCTGCTCAGTGCACTTGTACTGTAACTTCAAATGAAACAAGGCTCTCGTTATTAGCTTTCAAAGGGCTTTACAGGATTCAGTCTGAAGCGGAATGAGAGATCGTTTATGTTGTGAGATCTTGCAGAGGTTGAATACATCGAGCGTTCGTTCGGAGAGCAGAGGAATGCAGTGAGAATCGTCCAGCGTCGTCCAGGGTGGCCCTCGACTCGAGCGGCAGGCCGTCAGATATTCAGCTCAGACGCCTGAGAGTACATGTAAACACTCAAACACGTGAAGTACAAAATCAACTGGAACAATCTGTAAACACTTCAGGGATCCACCGCGCGGCCAGACGACCTGCTGAAGTCTACCTGTGGAGGAACACCAACAAACAAATGAGCAATACACCATTACAAACACAACTTTAGGGGCCGTTTTCAACTAAAATCAGAAAAAGTAACATTGTGGCCGTTCATTTAAACAACAATAGCGCTTTGGGGGCCTAAAAACAGTTTTGAAAACAGTTTCAAAGTGCATGTTTTTGAAAACGATACCGCTATCGTCTGTGTAAACAAGGTAACAGTCTGTCTTCAGAACACCCCCCTTGTTTTCACCTTTTTTGGATTAGCCCAACCCAAGAGAGAACGATAAGTAGGCTGTAGAAGGTCTGATGCTGAATATTATTTATTTAATTGTGAGAGCGTTTAATAGTCAGTCCTCTTCTAACATGTCAACAACAAAGAAATCGACAGTGTGGCAGCATTTTGTTAAAATTGATAACGGGAAAAAGGTCGAATGCAAAGTGTGCAAGCAACCACAGCTCGACGACAAACATGACATATCATCTAAAAGTGGTAAGCTCACTTGTCTGCGTTAGCTTGCCCTGTCTGTTTTGAGTAGGCTATATGAACAAATCAGAATTTGCATATTTCAATGTTTTAGTGTGATAACCTAACTTTTTTATTTTTTGTTTGGAGCCTAATGCGCAATTGCGCTGTGCCGACTGTTTGTATTAGTTTTGAGCCTAAGATGCTTTATTTTTCAGTTATGCACTTTATTTCGTTTCTGCTCTTGATCTGGTTTGTTTAATAAATATTCTTTTTTTTTATTAAAGTGTGTTTATTAAGAGTAAAAGCTTTAAGTTTATAGTCTATTCGTGTCTCAGCCGCGAAGCTGATCTCTCCTATGTTCAGCCTGTGCGAGGACATGCACAGAGCGGCTGAAATGATAGTGTCTGACAGTTATAATATATGACAAAAATAATTGTCTAAATTATGTTGCATATTCCTCAACAGTTCTTGTGATGATATCACTAGTTGACAACATAGTACTATCTTCGGAAATCATAGGCTATGATATTGCGCAGGTGCACGTGATGCAACGCTGTCAGAGCCGACAGACTCGTGTGTCAGACTCATTTCAGTGCAAAATGATTCGGTCAAAAACGATTTAATATACTGCAAATAGCCTACTAGTTTTTTATGTTTATTTATAATTCATTTAGGCGGACAACAAGGCTACCAAGTACTGCGCACTGTGCGCAGCTAATTAATTTAACGTTGTTTTTTTCTAACGTCATTTTTAGTCGAAAATGTCAGGACTTCAGTCGACCAAGATTTTCTTTGGTTGAGTACAGCCCTAGACTTTAGAAAAATTGAAGCGCAAGACGACTCGCGCGCTGTTTTCAGAGCTGCAGGCGTGTGTGTGACTATACTGGGCAACTCTTAAAGTGACAGCAGCCTATTATTCCTGCTGCCGTCTCTATGACAACACTAATCAAACAAAGGACAAAGAGAAAATTCCCTCCTTCTTGGCTGAATAACTTTTGTAACTATATTTGTAATGTACTGTATATTTTATTTATAAAGTGCAGTGTTATTTTACATTTGATTACAGTTTCTGTACCTGAATACCTGAAAAACTTAAAACACTGCATTTAAATCATATATTTGTTCTGTTGTATTTATTTGTTGCGATTGCTAATTTTTTATTCGTTTTATTTTTTAAATTAATGAGTGTTTACTTGTCTTTAATAATGCTTTAAATGTATTTTACTTAGGCTAGTTTGTTTTACAATAAGACTAAATGTGAAAGATATATTTTTTACCTTATTAGAATCGTAATTGAAAAGCAGAATCGTAATTGTTAAAATTCAAACGATACCCAACCCTATTGTCGTCTGTGTGCAGAAAAAGGAAAAACTTTTAGTTTTTTTTAGTGCATCGTTGTCATGTAAACATGTAAATATCATGTAAATATTAACTTGTTTGAGTTATCACTAATGCTGAATAATGCAATTGTCACCAAAACAAGAAAAGAGTATGTCATATGATAAGTGGCTTATATGCAGTGTTGGGGAAAGTTACTTTTAAAAGTAATGCAACTTTTACTCAAACAAATTCAGAGTACTCGATTTAAAAAAAAAAATCCTCGGTTACAATTTACCCATGTCGAGTAACTGGTAAAATACTGGAAGTGTTGCGTTCCACGGACGAGAATCCATGAATTGCATTATTATTATTATTATTATTAGTTTTCTAAGGCTTTAATCTGGTGTAAAGTGTAACAACACCAGGCCGTCTGCAGACATCTGTTATAAAACATAGCCTAGTGTACATTATGTATATTATACTATGCATTTTAACAGTGTTTTTTTATAAAACTATAATATGACTTAATTTTGATACTTTATTTGAAACAATTATTACTGCCTCGTTGCTATTATACATGTATTTTGATTAATTTTAAAGGCTATTGTTTACTTAGGTCTGTTTTTATTACTACAAAAAAATATCCGATTACTCGATTAATCAGCCACAATAATCGACAGATTACTCGATTAATCGGCCACAATAATCGACAGATTACTCGATTAATCGGCCACAATAATCGACAGATTACTCGATTAATCGGCCACAATAATCGACAGATTACTCGATTAATCGGCCACAATAATCGACAGATTACTCGATTACCAAAATAATCATAATCGATAGTGACAGCCCTAATTACTTTTGATTGACTTTTTCTCATCAGGGCTGGGCTTGTTTGTATGTTTGTTTGTTTTTAATAACAAAAAAACAGTTTCACAGAAAATATCACAGAAGTTAAAGATGTTGTAACCTAAGCGCGAAGGAATATTATGATTACTGATCTCGATACCAACAAAACAAAATAATAATCTTAATGATCTAATAAGGACAATTGAGCTCTGGCAGAATGAATAAAAAGGTTTGAGATTTCTAAGGCACAAGCAGTGAGACGCTGCAGTAAAATACCTTCAAAGACATTTCAACCCGTCCCAGATGTCATCTGTTCTTCAGCCTGCTGACGCTCAATCTGGATGCTTTATTCTGAGAAGACAAAAACACGAGCGATCGTTATCAGCGCTGAAGATGATGCAAGAGGAAGACACTAAAGCTGAGGAGTTCAATACTGCAGTCTATTATGCTGCAAACTCATGTCATTCTCATAACTTAAACTCAACTACAACAATATCTCCGAGTCACCTTGTGCTTCGGGCATCTGATGGTGAAGTTCTCCTCGTTGAGCGCACTGTCTGTGGGGAAACAGCACAGACAAACACCTCAACAACCACACAAAACAAGCATCAGTGCAACAAAACAGAGATGAGTGTTCGAACCGAGACTCCAGAACAGCCGGGAATGGGAAATAAGGAGATGCCTTACAAGAAAGCTGGACAATACGGCTCAATATTTCCATCGCTCTGAAATGATTTAAAACAGTGTTTCCCAAATGTCTCCTCCATCAAACACATATCAGCTCATCAGTAGAGACTCCAAGGCTAGTCTGATTATTTGTGTATCTGATCTTAAACGATTGACTGTCCACATCCATCCAGATCTGATGTGTGTCCATGCTTCTCTTTCGTTTTCCAGAATCTCTGCATGGGTTTCTATGGCAATGGCGTTTCGTTGGTAGGTATATGCCAGCAACAACAACAACAACAACAACAACAACAACAACAACAACCACATAAGGGGTTTGCAATACAGATGATGTCTTATTTACATCATGCCAACGTGTAGCCGGTGCGCAGGACGACTGCCTCTTATGAGACGGCGGCAGAGGCGTAGGAGGCTGGTATGACTGGTTTTATTTAGCGCTGTCTTCTCCGCCGGTTTCAAAACATGTCTCTACATGTTATATTGTCAGTTTCTGCTCGTCCGCCACTTTGCAACAACACAGTCTTGTTTCAGCAGGGATTTTCAGCATGTTTTCTAAAACAACGTCTGACGTTTGACGTGTCGTGAGAAAGTCACATAAACCACGTGAAATCCAATCAGGTCAGTTTCCGATTCGCATTTCATGTGATTTTTTTTTGCCAGATTTCAATCGGATATGCACAAAAATCTGAATTTGACTGACAGTCTGAGCATAGCCCAGGACTTTGGCTCTGATCTGAAATCAGGCAATGACTCTCAGCGTTTGCACACGGTTCCCTCATGAAACTGATTTCAGACAGACTTCTGAAGCTGCGTAACGGTTTAATGATCTACAGCAAAATAGAGCGAGCTTTGGTGATAACTAAGCGAATAGTTAATTACTATAATGGTAATTTCTCGCTAGAAATGACATCAGAAGTGGAAAATGTTGGTCAAAAACGTACATTTACACCATCTGACCACCAACCACATCTTTTAGATGCCGTCTTTCTTTCTTTTTTTTAGCTTAAAGGGGTCATATAATGGTACATGCACTTTTACAAGTTGATTGTACTGAAATGTGTGTTGGCAGTGCCTGTACACAACCATCATATAATGATAAAAATCCATCCAGTGGTTTTGTTTTAATCTCTTTATGTTTTTCATATCAAAATCGAGCCGTTCGACCGTGTGACGTCACAGGCTCGGACGCCCCTCCCACGATTGTTGATTGACAGCAGCGTTTCAACACAGACCCGCCCTGAGCGAGCTGTCATCATAGTCCGTCATTGTTGATACACTGGAGGAGAATGGCGTCTAAGCGATTGTGGTGTTCTGCTCTTGGGTGTAATAACGAACACAGTCATTTTAATGTTCCTAAATCCGAACCGCTGAAGACGCAGTGGCTGAGTTTTGTTTTCGAAGGGAATATTCCCCACGAGCAACGTCAATGCTTTCATGTTTGCGCAATTCTTTTCTCACCAGACTGCTTTATAAACGAGGGTCAGTATAAAGCTGGATTTGATAGGAAGCTGCTCCTGAAAAAATAATCAGTACCAACTATTCATGTTCCCTCTGCACCTCCAGAAGAAGTGAGTTTTAAGTTTTATTAAGCTTTATATTAATCTTTGCAAATCGCGAAAAAAAAGTTGTTCATTACCATTAAATGTAACATCAATCTGTCAACGAACTAACGTATACATCAGTAAACACAGCGTTCGTATCTCACTACTCTAGCCTGCCAGTGCATACAAAGATAGATCAAAGTGACATTACGTTAACCAACCATTCAGAAACCTCCTGTTCGAGCCTTAATTGTCGAACTTCTTCTGGGCCGTCATCTTGTTCCGGGTCCGACTCCGGGTCAAACTGATACGGTTGCACAGATGTGTCCTCAGAGACTCCCGCTGCCATTCTCTCTCCAAAATATACCCTCAACTGTTGTCAAGGCAACACTTCACGTGCGTTGGGTCGAAACGCCCCGCAGAACAGAGACGCGGAGTCAGCAAAGCTCATTATCATTTAAAGTCATATGCACTGAAACGGCCTGCTGAAAACAGAGCTGTTTTTGACCAGGTAAAATTAGTGTTTTCTTAAAATACTAATGAGAATTTTTAATAAAAGACTAAGGATTTTCATAGTCGAATCTGATTCGTTAGATTTTGCCGTAGTCGACTGATAGTCAAACCTTTTTTCTCTTTTTTTAGATAGCAGCTAGACATTCGGTTGAATAACTGTTCGTCTGTTATCGGACAACTCGCTCTACGTTTATTTAAAATGAACAGACAACTAGAAGTGAATGTGCTTTCCATTAAAGGGACACTATGCAGCTTTTTTAGCTTAACTGAACAGCTTCAGAGTTATTGAAATGGTTATATAACTTCTTTCGGGTTGAATGGTGGGCGTCTCGACCCCCCCTGGTGCCTGTGAGCGGAAAAATCTCACTTGCAACTTCGGTGCGGCGGGCCGCGTCAGGAAGTATCGCGTGATATCAGCTCTCGCGATGTAACATATTCCTTTACGGCAACTGCACACATACACACAGGAACAAGGTATAGATGGATGGAGTTTGTCACACTATCGTCATGGCTGAGCCGGCATATAAGATGCAGAAAGCTAGGAAAGCATTGTCGGAGGAACAGAGAAAGAGGAAACGGCAGACTGACCGAGCGAGGAGTCGGACACGAGCATAGGCATAATTTGCTGGTGTGTTATGTCCCCATTGAAACTTCTCGCGGCACGGATGTAACGTTACCATTACAAACAAATAAAACATCTCCAGGTAACTCTAGTAGAGCATTCATTTCATTCGTTTGTTAAATAAGAGGCGATCTGAAATGTGTTAGTTTTGAAATCAAGTGACCAAAGTGCTCGTTGCCTCTGCGATCAGTGGTGCAGATAAGTTACAGTGTTCTGTTGTGACGCGCGCCTGAATCCGTTGCGGGGACTGAGAGACTCTCTATATTTTGTAATGGCACAAAAAACATGTCCCTGCTTGAAATACAACCACTAATAAACAATCGGTTTTGATGAGGAAAATAAACTATACTACTACTGATTAGAACCCAGAGCCTCTGACACACTTGGCAAAAGTTCTGCCTCTGGACCATTAAAATTGTCGGATCTATGTATTTAATCACGTGAAAATTCTCACCACTAACAACATATATTATATCTCATTAAACGACAAATTAAACACAATGTACTATTGTATACTATGTAACAGGGCATGTCAAGCTCTGAGTGAGTGGTATTTACGACAGTAACATTAAATTCAAGTACTCCACAGTAACTCTAGGGGTCGCTGTTTGACAAAAACGGGATTTCTGCATAATGCCCCTTTAAATGAATCCTTAACACAAAAAAAACGTTGCAATGAACGTGCTTTGTTTTAAATAAATCACACACAGTAAACAAAACCTTAACAAAAAAAACTTTGCAATGAACTTTTATTTTACTTTTACTCAATTTAGACGCGCAAACTGCGTGCCGGTGCGGTGAGACGTATAGCCTACATGCTCGGGCAGATTCGGCTTGAAGTCGTTCATCCTCGGATGCGGCGTCGCGCGCGCTGTTACAAAAAAAGCTGTGCACACAGCCAAGCCAAATGCCGGTCTTGCCGGTCTTGCGCACCCAACGCGTCATTTTTTTGCCGTCCGCACGAGCGAAGGCTTTACTCCGTGTCAGCGCGCGCTCTGATCGGTAAAGGGGGACAGACCTCTCCCGAATCATCTCCAGCACTCAGCCTCCGATCGCACCACTAACTCCGCCTCCGTTTCCCTCGTAAGATATTATTAGTATTTAAACATTCTCTATGATGATAAATGTTTGTAAAAAATATTTTAATAGCACGGTTTTGGCGGTTATAGAGTTCTAATGACGGTGTTCAACTATAACCGTCGGTCTCACGGTTATATAATAACGTCACACCCCTCATAACACTTGCCTACTATTCGACTATGAGGTTCATAGTCGAATCAGACCTCTCCGAATCGTCGAATCCTCGACTATTAGAAGTCAGCCCTAAAAAGTATATTACAAAGTTTTCATTTAGACCCTAAAGAATCAAATTAACTTGTACAAAAATGGCATTATATGACCCCTTTAAAAATGCTGCATTTGGAGGACGGCTGCAATGTTAGTTTCACTCCCTGTCTCCTGAGATACTTCATCTGATGGATTTTTGAAGGCAGCATAGATGTATCCTTCACGGCCTTTGATATCCCACAATCCTGTGCTTTCCATTCTGTGACAGTTGAGCTAGAAAAATAAAGATGCTGTAGTTGATGAGGTTTTTTTACCAATGTTTTCCACTTTTGATGTCATTTCTAGCGAGCAATTACTGTAGTCATTAAAAATATTCTCTAAGTTCTCATTGAAGATCGCTCTATTTTGCTGTAGATCATTAAACCGTAACACTGTCACAGAAGTCTGTCCGAAATCAGTGTTCGCGTGCAAACACTGTCTGCAAAGTCATTGCCTGATAGGGCAGCGAGGCAACAAGCCACTGCCTAAGATTTGGGACTAAAAAATGATTCTTCCACAGAAGTATGAAGGCAACAAGGCACGTCCGTATAGGAGAAAAAGGAAACATTCAAAATGTGCAGCTCTGAACAGGGTGGAGAACCACTGCCTTCAAACAATGTTGTTTTGTTTTTAAATCAGAGGAACCATCATGTCAAACAAACATTGTACATTGCATTACTTGGTTTCAGTCGGTACGGTGTGACGAGACCGAGATCATTACCTGACTGCAGGGCACAGGGGAAGTGGTACTTATTGGGGCAATCTTTGAAGAAACATCCCAGAGTGGCACCAACCATGTGACAGTGCGAACACACCTGTAACAACCAAACACAACACACACACCTTACAGCTTCTGAAGATTCAGTGACAGCGTTGTTTAAAGTAGTGTGGCTTTTTAATGCCATGTCAGCATCTGAGGCATCTTCACGGCAAAAACGGAGTGACAAAAATAAAAGAGTTGCATAAATACAATTAATATTATACAAAATGTTTTACATTAACATATGATAAAAATTCTCAAAGTCCTTGAGTGTGGAAGAAAATGATGGTCAATCTTGTATGACCTATGCGAACAGGGTTATTTTAAATAAAGCCAGACATTATTTTTGATAGGGGAAATAATCTCATAATATCTGTCAGGAGTATGTCAATTAGCATATTTAATTGACCCCCCCCCCCCCCCCAAAGAAATCAAAGAAAAAAATCGTACAAAATCATAAATATAGAAACTGCATTTACTGCTCCAGACACGTCAATTCGTCCACCATCTTGGAACAGTCAACATGACGCTGATCATCACTCACACTAACAAATCGATGATTTTCAAAGAAATGCAACAGCATTGTGCAGCCTATGGTTATAATAACCACCAAGCTAACTAGGGGTGGAACGGTACACAGAAGTCACGGTTCGGTTCATACCTCGGTTCAGACGTCACGGTTCGGTACGAATTCGGTACAATGGAGGGAAAAGCAAAACAAAAATGCAGAAGGCATTGTATTTTTAAAATAAGTTTTATTAATAAAGGCATAGAACCAGTTTATTTGTAGTGCACTGACAATAGTTTTATATAATTAGTTTATTAATTAAATTAATGAAAAGACAAAAAGACCTTGCGATATGTTTGGTAATTGTACCTGAATTAATTTAAAATTAATTTGCTATATTTCAGATCAATATATTTGTTTTCCTTAATTTTAATTAACATTATTAATTAACAATGTAACATTATTCTCATCTGAATTATAAATAATTGATTTCTGTTAAAATAATACTACCATTAAAAACACATTTGATTTTCTTTTTTAATCAATGTAGAATGTGTAAGATTAGTGCTCCGAGGACAAGAAATGAAAACCAATGCAATATGATGAATGTCCAAAAGATGGAACACACAGACTGTTTTGAAATGGAGTCGGATAAATATGTTTTTCCTTTTAAAACAGTGTGTGTGTGTGTGTGTGTGTGTGTGTGTGTGTGTGTGTGTGTGTGTGTGTGATTTTGGTTGAGTGACAGTTGTACAGTTTGACAAGAGTTTACAGTGTGCACAATGTTGTGTTTTATTGCGAGTGTACACAAATATAAGTAAACACTTTGCAGGTTTAATGATCTGTAAAAAATTACGGAGTATGGTTTTTTTTTATGTTTCCACTGTTCGGTCGCGCGCCTCTCTCTCTCTCTCTCTTTCTCTCTCTCTCTGTCTCACACACACACACACACAGTTCGATCTCGCCTCTCTCTCTCTCTCGCGCGCGCACACACACACACACACACACACACACACACACACACACACACACACACAGTCCAGCATTGCAATCTTGACATCGCAGCCTTCATTATGCGGTCACGGTCACACCAAACGCGAATAGAGCGTCAAATTCGCGTCTAGTTCGACGCTAGTCCAAAGCGAATAGGACGCGCGTATAAAGCCAACGTTTGAAGTGAACGCGCGTTCAGAGCTAAGCCGATGGTACAGATTATGTGTCCCTAAAGAACCCGCGTATCTAACAGTAGTTCCGCATTACATTAATTAATTTGCACGCAGGTTTTATTTATTTTTATACCGTGTATTCTCCGTGTAAATTCGTGCACCGAACCGTGACGCCCGTACCGTTTCGGTTCGATACGAATACATGTACCGTTCCACCCCTAAAGCTAACCATAACTATCAGAAAATTACACTTCTAGATATATCTCTATGCCCAAAATCAGACAAACGGATAGACAGGTACATGATAGATAGACAGACAGACAGACAGACAGACAGACAGACAGACAGATAGATAGATAGATAGATAGATAGATAGATAGATAGATAGATAGATAGATAGATAGATAGATAGATAGATAGATAGATAGATAGATAGATAGATAGATAGATAGATAGTCGTGGAAAAAATCTTTTGGGGGAAAATGTGTTAAGGGTCATGAAAATAACTTTACAATGCAAAAAATCTTAATAATAATTAAAGAATGGGTTTCACTTCCGTAATGTAAAATATAAAGATATTTTATTAATAATAATAATAATGTTGGGGAGAAAAAAAAACGTACTGTTCCTTGTGCAAGTCGGATGGCCTCCTCCAATCCGTAGAGTTTCCCTTTAACCAAAAAGATGCCTGCCGTCCAAATACTGCAGTCCTCATGTATCCAGAGCTCAGCACAGACCCCGGACTCCTCCACGTTCCCCGAGCAGTTCTCCTTCGTCTCCCGTGGGACCGCCCGGGGCGCCCCGTCCTCTAAACTACAGACGGAGTCCGGATCGCTGCAGTCGGGGTCCTGCTTCTGTGCTTCGGGACTGCGGTCGACCTTACAGACGGGCTGAGCTCCTCTGGAGTGGTACGGCCCATGCAGGTCCCCGAGGCCTTCGACGTTCCCGGGCCGTCCACACAGGCAGCAGAAGCGCCGGACCTGAAGCCTGGCCTCGGAGCCGACCCGGCCCAGCTGCAGACAGGAGGATTTCGGGATGACTCCCGAGACTATCTGCTGGGACCCTTTCTTTGTCGAAAAATCGTCCTCTTCCCTAAAATTAACGATTGAGCAGGAAGAGAACTTCATACGGATGTAAGGGGCGAAGCCATCAAGCCTGGCGTGAGTCTTCTCTTCTTTGTGGTTTGCATATCGGAGTTTAATCTCCGGCTCTTTAGGAGAAAACAGGGATGAAACTCCAGATGTCCAAGGCTTTCTTCTTCTCTTAGCCTTACTAGCTGCAGATTTACTGCCTGGTGACGGCCTCGCCTGCTTAGCCGTTTTGGGTCTGGGTTGGGATCTGGATTGGGATATGGGTTGGGATATGGGTTGGGATCTGGGTAGGGATCTGGGTTGGGATCTGGGTTGGGATCTGGGTTGGGAACTGGGTTGGGAACTGGGTTGGGAACTGGGTTGGGAACTGGGTTGGGATCTGGATTGTGATCTGAGTTGGGAACTGGATTGGGATCTGAGTTGAGAACTGGATTGAGATCTGGGTTGAAAACTGGATTGAGATCTGGGTTGGGAACTGGATTGGGGTCTGGGTTGGGATCTGGGTTGGGGTCTGGGTTGGGAACTGGATTGGGATCTGGATTGGGATCTGAGTTGGGAACTGGATTGGGATCTGGGTTGGGATCTGGGTTGGGAACTGGATTGGGATCTGGGTTGGGAACTGGATTGGGAACTGGATTGGGAACTGGATTGGGGTCTGGGTTGGGATCTGGGTTGGGGTCTGGGTTGGGAACTGGATTGGGGTCTGGGTTGGGAACTGGATTGGGACCTGGGTTGGGGTCTGGGTTGGGAACTGGATTGGGACCTGGGTTTGGGCCTCGGTTTTGTCCTCTTCCTACTTTTCGAGGCCGTAGTCTTCCGGGAATGGTTTGGCGTTGAAGAAGACGCCCCAATCTGCGGAGACGCCAAGACGCTCGTGTTTTCGCCATCTGAGGTAGACGGGAAGTTTTGGGAATAAGCAGCATCCATGTCTTCTTGATCGCTGTCCTGCGGGGATATGGGTATCAAGACCGACTCCATCCACGACAGCAGCGATTTGGATCCGGAGCCAGTCCTACCGTCACGGCCTTCAAAGATCGGTTCATCCATTGCGTAGACGTTGTTCACATTTCTGGGATTGGCTATTTGATGATCATAGTCTACTTCCTGCTTCATGGAGAAATTGTTTCGTCTTCCACTGCTCATGTCGTTAACGATAACACTTTCAGTTCGGGAGCGCCAGTTCAAAGGAGTCTTGCATCTGGAGTTGCTTACCGGCACCTCAATGACGTCACTGTCCTCGTCACTGGAGATGTATTCAGCGGAGCAGGGAGACGTTTCGTTAGCGGCGGTACATTCGGATGCGAGGGTTTCAATGGCAGTCGACTCAACCGCTGAGCTGGTGGAACGTAGTGTGTGTGCGGCGGCGTTGTTGGCGTCCTGAGGTAAACGTGACGAGCCCTTAGTCTGTGACAGTGCGTCACTAAAGTATGGATGTGTCTCGAATGCATTGTGTGCTATCCTACCTCCTAGTGTGCGGTTTTCTAACACTCTCTTGCGACATCTTTTCGCTTGCGTCAACGCTTCGTCCATTTCAACGTCGGAATCTGTGTCATCCTCAAACTCTTGGTGTGTCGGTGGGCACTGAGACAGTATCTGAGCCACGGATGGCAATCCATTGATCAGGGGTAAAGGCATAGAGTAGGAGCCATGGGATGATGTCCCGCAAATCCCATGGAGCTTTGATCCTGGTTCTGGGTGATCAGGTGGAGTCTGTTTGCTGGGCCGAGTGATGTACCGACCGGACCGAGACTCGGACATGTTAGCGCTCCTGCTCCCTGAGGTAATGCCACACCAGCTGGGCTTCTTCACCAAATCCAAAGCCTCCATGGAGTTTAGTGGGCCCTGCCTGCAGCCCACAGACAGATCCAGAGCTGAGGAACGAGACTCCTGAAGGTGCATGACATCGACCTGGTCCAGAGGGTCCATGACTGAAAGAAACCAAATGCAGGAGTCAATAGGGGCACCGGGTAGTAATAGGAACGTTTTCCTGGTTGCATTCGCACCACCAGTAGGTTGTGACCTTTATTTTAACAGCCTGAGCTCACAGTGATCACATTCTCTGTGTTCATTAGTTTACGGTCTGTCTAGCAGTCCTGTCTAATACATTATTAGATAGAACTGTTTTACATAGAAAGTTGACAGTATATGAAAAGGTATTAGCATATGTCGTGTGGTTGATGTCCAATTTTTTATATTAATAATTACATGGTTACTAGTGCAAATGTCTGTTCAACAACTGAATTGCTACTAGCAAAGTTTTTTTAAATCAACAATTCGATTGTCACTACTGACTGACTATGTTCATTTCAGATATCATGAATGTGAATATTAGTAAAAAAAAAGCCATTTTAGATATCTGAAATTGCTCTCCTAATTATTGATATCAGAAATATATTTTCAGATAGCCTTTCAGAAATACCAAATTAAATACGCTGAAATACAGGAATCAAGAATTAACATTTCAACGAGTGACAATTGAGTTCTTGATATCAGGAATTTATCATTTTTGTAGTAACAAAGTAATTATTGATTATGAAAAATCTTGATTTTTACAAGAAATAATTGAATTTCTGATCAAATATCAAGAATTCATAGTCTGGGAATGAAAGTCAAAACAGCTTGCCATATCCCTGTGTGTCAGTGTAGAGGTCATAGGCAGAGGCATCTTTCCAGACCTCTGGTTGTATTGTGGATCACATCTTCCAAACTGGCATAGGATGATAGTGTATTAAAATGTCTGACTTCCACAACATCTATGACTTATATTCTTCATCTCTACCTTCACGTCCACTGCTCCTATTCTCAACTTCTTCCTTTCTTACTATGACCTCATTTTCTAAAGCACTGCAGTCACCATCAATACTTTCTGGAAAAGCTACAGCTTTTCCTCTCGGTCTTCCAAAAATACTTACTAACATCAACCTAAAACAGGAAAAAAGACATTTATACCGCCTGAGTGCCAGTACTGAAGATTCCCTAAAATAATTTACTTTGGTAAAAAATTAAAAAACTCACAGAGTTATTGATTTTACAAAATGTGCATTAAAAATGACCAACAGCTTTAGAAAGCAGATTTGGATGTACAATTTAAATGTATATTTATTTTCTTGACTAAAATGAACTCACTATGGAGCCTTGACAGCATGTGACCTTCACTTCCTTGTTGCCAAAAATGTCAAGCACATGACAATAGATTTCAACTTTGTTGGCTGAAGGGGATGCCATACCATGGTACAACCACTACTACTAATATATATATATATATATATATATATATTGGTTAAACATTATTATTGTATTTTAATTGCAATTTTCTCACCATAGAGTGTTAAAATAAAGTGCCCCTTAACCAAGAACAAACTGGTCAATCTTTTCTAATGATGCTTCTTGAGAAGTTCACCTAAAATCAGGTATCATCCCACAGCAACATCAGGATACATTTTAACACACAAACCCATGAGTAAAGTAGGTCAATACGCACACATAAATCAATATGAGGCCCAATAATGGTGTTTGTATTGATGTCAGGAGCTTTGCTGCGCCATGTTTTGATCGATCTATTGACTGATGAAGATGAACTCACTATCACTGAAGCTAACGCTAGCCAGGTGTCAGTAACACTTACCCGAGGATGAACACGTCCCTTCACTGCCCAGAGTTACTCAACATCTTATCAAAGGCACGGGAGGGGGGTTATACAATTAATTTGGTCTAAAACACATATGGACTAATCATATAAAAGAGTAAAACTACTGGCGAAAGCAGGACAAGGCAGTTCTTCTGGTTAACTGTGTGACTCCAGCTAAACATGGCGGCCGGAATACGAAACACAATAGAGATGCTTTCAAAATAAAAGACAAATCTTCAGTACAAAAGGCCAAGAGTAGGCCAAATGAAACACTTCTCCATAACATAACAGCATATAACGGCTAAGAACATATTATGAATATAAAAATTAAATTAAATATTTTAGATAGGCTAACTAATAAGAAAAGTAATGTGGGAATAGTGCTCTATCTGTCAGTCACATTTCACCATTATTATTATCATATCATGACTATAGTATTAAGCAAATATTTCAGAACCGTAATGCTTCTTATCACTCTCCCTTTTGTTGGCCATTAAGAGTGTCATTAAAAACACAGTAGTGTATTATCTTATCCCAATTACTTTTTATTGTATATTTTAATTGCATTCTTTGTTTCATAATGTACAAATCAAATCCACATAATTATGACACATCACACAGTGTTTGATCATAAGGCCAAGTTTATTGACAGAAAAATAAGAACCAACCATAAAAATTAAAACCACTTACTAAATAATAAATACATACAAAACCAAAAGTGTTCTGAGTGAATCAACAGGAAAGGCACAGATATGCATTCATTATCAAATTAGTTTTAAAATAATAAATAAATAAAAACAGAATGCTCATGTACTTATTTTCGGATAAAAGTCTAAATTATACCTTTAATAGCAACTGTTAATTTAAACTTTGATTTGGTCTGTTACGATCTGTAGCTACAATCATAAATCACTCTAGCAGCTCATAATAATATGTCACATATTAATAACATATTGCACGACTCTCTGTCTCTGAATTACTTGATTCTGATTGGTCAACCGCAGCTTTCTGACGCTAAAATATATTTATTCACTTTTGTCTGTCATGTCTCTTCACACATAATCAAATCATGTCTGCTCAAAACAACATTTTTACACACATTATTTCGCGAGTAGCGTGAAATTATTCATTATTGCAAAGTAGGGACAACTTTACGTCATATGATCTCACTGTACATTTCCCTTACAGTTTGCTACATTTCAGATAGTTTATCAGATCTCTTGCATTTGTGTGACGTAATCTGAGCATATCCTTGAAACAGTAAACATACAGCCTGAGAAACCACACCTCTAAAGAAACAGACTGTAATAAGAGACCCCTGACACCTGATTCATCTACAAATATAAAGCACCCGTGACACATGTAATCCCTCCAGCACTCCCGAGTTCAGCCATCGATGTACTTCGGGTCGAGTGTGTGGCTGTCCCGTATGGAGAAGGGTCTCCAGGCCAGCACCTGCAGGCCCGTGACACACAGCGGCACCACACACACCAGGTAAAACATCATGCTGTGCAGGGACTGGAGAGCACTGGGAGGAGGAGAGCAATGTTAAATGAATGCAGTGCACCTTTGCACCACTAGAGGAGGACAGACCACTGAGTCTGAGATCACATAGGCCAGTGGTTCCCAACCTTATTTTGTCTGAGACCCCCTTTTTCCCAAGAAAATATTTTAGGGCCCCCCTTCACATTTAATGATATTATCGCTCTTGTAAGCTTGCAGCAAGGATGACAAAATATGTTGTTTTCAAACAAACAGTATGTTTACTATAACCAGATATGTTTATGCACAAATAATAGCTTATAATATTGAAAATACAATGACAAAAACATCAGTAGGCCCTTTGTAATTTAAAAACGTAAGCCTAGGAGAAGCCTATATATTGGCCCTATTTGAAATCCAAAAACAAAAATATTCACAGTGGTGTGTAGGTAAAAAAAAAAGAAAGAATATAGGCTATTACTAAATGACTGCTGTCTGGGGCCTTAATACTTGCAAGTTATTTGTGAGGCTTTATTTTTTATGCTTTTGGCGCTATAGCGAGCGATAATAAACTTGCGTTTATTAACAGAATAATGTGTCTTTCGGAAGAACATTGTAGCCGGAACTACTTCTCTCTGTGTACGTCTATGACGAGTCACGCTGGTACTGGGCTACTCCGCAGCGGCAGCGAGCCGAACCAGTGTAAAATAGTCCCAATGTAAACACTTATTATAGGTGTACCATAGTTGTTCAGGATAAGACAAAACACGGATTGAAAAATGGATTCATGATGAACTCGCTCATTATATACATTTTGTCAATTTTGAACAGAAAAAAGTTAAGGACTTTTATTTAATGCTCATTGCTCAAAACTTTTCTAAATATGACGCGACCCCCCCAGAGCTCGCTCGCTGAGCTTGTGGGCCGCGACCCCCCTGTTGGGAACCGATGACATAGGCTACTTATAGAGGCTGGTTTCGCCACAGAATAAAAATAATAAAAAAGTAGTAATTACAAGTAATTGCAACTTTTTATCTCACAGTTCTGACTCTTTTTTTCTCATAATTGCGGTAAAAAGTCAGAAATCAGAAAGAGTCAGAATTGCGTGATATGTCGCAAATGTGTTTCATAAAGTCAGAATTGCGTGAAATAAAGTTGCAATTGAGAGTTATACAGTCCAATTTCCTCAGAATTACGAGTATATATCTCGCAATTCTGACTTTTTTCCCCTCAGAATTGCACATATCTCGCATTTCTGACTTTTTAACACACAATTGGGAGATATAAAGTCAGAATTGCACAATATAAAGTCGCAATTGCGTGTTATAAAGTCAGAATTGTGTGAGATATAAACTCGTAATTGTCTTGCAAAATGTTTTATTCTGTGGCGGATACAAGCTTCCCAACTATATAGAAGGTGAACATCAGTTTGTCACAAAAGAAGTCTGTCTGAATTCACACACACAGTACTCATAAAAGAGCCGGTAAAAAGTACTACTTCATCCGCTGAGATTCTGAAGTGTGTGTATATATATGTTTGTTTTTTCTTCTTTACTATCCCATAAGGCCACAGGAGAGGATTTGTGAATGGCAGTGAAGCGGCGAAACTGATGCTGTTAGATCACATGATAATTACAAAATGGTGGATGTAGCACATCTGGATTACATTCATACTATATAACATACTTTATTAGCGGTCGTGAAGTAATTACTTATTCAAAATAAGCAGCACCTACTACGTCTCAATTCGCCTACTCATACTACGCCCTAAAAGTATGTGTTTTTGTTTTTGTGAAGAAAAAGTTGATACTTTTGAGAGTGCAGCAGAAGAGAAGACATGCTTTGGGACAAACTATCACGTCATACAATTGCGTCTTTAACGGTCGCTCTCTGTCGCTTAGTTTAATTCTTCTCTTTTGTCCACTTTCAACCACTTCTGTCCTGATTTCTTCAAGAGGAGGGTCTATGAGCGGGTAAATGGATGTGTTTTTCAGATCTTTCGATCTAATGGACGAAATAAGCTCACGCAATTTACAAACGAACACGACCGGAGACGACGGAAAAACACACGGAGAGCATCAGCTTTAGTTTCTGCTCTGACTGACACGAGCGTCAGGATTCGCCGAAAACAGGAGCCAAGCGCAGGGATGAGCGGCGAATGGTGATTTATTAACAATAAAAGGAACAATCTGTAACAGTTGAACAGTCCAGAGACAGTCCCACAACTGGACTCAAACACACACACACACACACACACACACACACACACACACACACACACACACACACACACACACACACACACACACACACACACACACACACACACACACACACACACACACACACACACACACACACACACACACACACACACACACACACACACACACACACACACACACACACACACACACACACACACACACACACACACACACACACACACAAAGGCAGGACAAAGACTAGAGTTATGTGACTGAAATACTAATGCATCTAAGGAAAGAAAACTCTAAAGTAAAGTAAAATAAGTCAGGAGAAAGCTAGGTATTAAATAAAAATAATCCCAGAATAAAATAATACATAAAAGAGAAGGCTAAAGTAACTACACCTACACATCAGGGAGAAAGAACTAGACAAAAAAACTAAGTAAAACAACACAACTAAAGAAGGCTAAATAAGAGAAGTTAGACTACGAAAACCCCAAAGCAAAAACTGCAACCCGATGCTAGAGGAAGATCCGAGACACGGACGCAACACAACAACCCAGCAGAGACATGATGAAGCAAAGAAGCACGATAGAAAGCAGAGCACACGAGGACCAGGAGCGCGAAACACTGAACAAACACACAACAGACAAAGCTGCCAGGGCGGAGCGCAGTGTGTGTTCAGTGTTTACATGTTTGTTTTGTGATTTGTCTTTATTTCTGTCGCCATTACCCTTTCGTCTAGTCCTCGTTTCACTGGTTGCGCTCCTGGTCCTCGTGTGCTCTACTTTCTATCGTGCGTCTTTGCTTATATAGACAAATAAAGACAAATCACAAAACAACCATGGAAACACTGAACAAACACAAAGCTGCCAGGGCGGAGCGCAGTGTGTGTTCGAAATCAAGTTCCTCAAAGCGCCATTTTAGTCTGAAGTGCTGAGAACTCATGCAATTTACTCCTCCTTCCAAACTTAAGTATAAAAGCAAGTTATCAAACTTCTTAAAGCTAAGACTCGCTCTCGCTCGCACAGTTAAGACAGCTGGAGAGGTCTCTCAAGTGGCCAGTGGAGGCTTCAGACGGAGAGGAAGAATGTTTTTGAAATGTTTGACGCTGAGCTATTAATCATACGGTGTCGTTTGGACAGTGCAGTCGTCTGTATCAGCGCTGGTTAATGTTGGGCTGAACTGGCCTTTTATTACATCTTTCCGCTGTTCCAGTAATTCAGCAAAAGTAGCTCTTCTTCCTCTTGCCAAGTCGTTTTCTTTTCGAATCCATGGTGTCTGATTATATGATACAATCTCTAGGCTATATATGGGTCAGCTAACAGCACACCGGGTTCAAATGTGTATTTAAGACAAGGTGGAAAACTCCTTTATCTTTCATTTCCAATGTGTACAGGTGAAACTCGGAAAATGAGAATATCGTGCAAAAGTTCATTTATTTCAGTAATTCAACTTAAAAGGTAAAACTAATATATTATATAGACTCATTACATGCAAAGTGAGACATTTCAAGCCTTTATTTGTTATAATTTTGATGAGCTTATGAAAGTCAAAGTCAGAATTAAAATATTGTGAAAAGGTTTTCATAAGCTGTAAGCCATCACAATTATAACAAATAATGGTTTGAAATATCTCACTTTGCGTGTAATGAGTCTATATAATATATTAGTTTCACCTTTTAAGTTTTATTAGTGAAATAAATAAACTTTTGAACGATATTCTCATTTTTCGAGTTTCACCTGTACTTAAAAAGTTTTCTCTTCACTGTAAAAAATAAAATGACATTTTTACGGTAAAATACCGGCAGCTGTGGTTGCCAGAACTTTACCGTCAAAAATATGGTACAGACGTTATTGGTTTTATAGACTTAACTTAAAATTTGCAATAATAAACCGTATTTCATTATCTGAAATAATGTTAATTTCCCAACCTATTTAAGTATTAATATCTGTTTTGTACCATTGTAATACTGACAAACATCAATCATCACAGCAGTGATGAGTCACATGATAAATCAAAGCTCATCACAAGCAATGAAAATCCACAAGAATGTTAAATTTACTGATATATAGAAGCTGCACAGTGTCATTCGCACAAACACTAAACAGCGTCATGGTAACACATGAAATTTAAAAAATGCAATAAACATTAATTTAACAACATTAAATGTAACATAAAACTCGAATGTACATAACTGATTAGAAAAGAACTAAGAAAACTAAGAAGAAACAGTTATTTCAACAAAAAATACATCAAATGTGAAGTGTGTGTCACGCAGGGAATTGTGGGAATGCCAATTTACGGTTTTTCACTGTAAATTATACAATGAGTTGTTCTTTTTCACTTTCAAAAACTGTAAATTTAACGGTATTTTACAGTAAAATTACATTAAATGTACCGTTAGATCTATCACAGTTATTTACCGTATATAGTAAGGATTTTGCACTGTAGCATTTTTACAATCTTTTACCGTTAAAATCACGATCATTTTTTACATTTATCGTCCAGTGTTGTGTTGAATGTGAACTCCTCTAAGGAATTTCCCTCTTCAATGTGAATTTATCTGAGAATATCCCGATTGTGGCACAGCAAAGCATCGCGAATCATCTCTAAGACTTGACAGTTAAGATTTAGTCCTACACTTCACAATTACGACCGAGATGCTTGATAACTAACTTTTAAGCTCTTCTCATAATGTTACTCATCATTAGTTCAGTAATTTGATCAAAACACTTACTCGCGCGTGCGTTCATACCGTTTCCCACGCCAATCATAACAGTGGCCGTTTACTGACAAGCCTAAAAGGAGTCGCGCTTTTTCAAGTTGAAAGTGTGTATAACGCACAACAGTGTAAATCATGTATTTTATGTATGGGCTGGCATATATTGAGTCTGGGCTAGTTTTGTTACACATTCCTGGCGACCCAGGTTTACGTTGCTTTATGTGCTGAAATAAGTATCCCAGGACAATCTGTTGTGCTTTGACAGACCGTACTGGAATATCTGAGAGGTAAAACTTACCTTGGATCCACGGCCTTGGACACCTCATGCATCTCCGCATAGCCATACTGGTTCAGGATAGACACGGCCATCATCGGGGCCAGAGACTGAGCCGGCTTCGTGAACAGAGCGTTGGTCCCGAAAACCATCGACGAGAGAGGAGAGCTGGAAACAAAAACATCCGACTGTAGATTCATCTTCGATAGCTAATAGTGCCATGTTTTAATCAACAAAGGAGGATGACTACTTGAGAAGTTTGATTAAAGGCCAGGTAACATACGATGGATAGATGAGTGCTTTAATACCTGCGCTTGTGTGTCTGCAGGTCCGAGTCGATGATGTCCGCCAGAGGCAGATTGAAGAGACTGAAGGACGCCTGAACCAGGACCCTATTCACCATCACACATCCACACACACGCTTATTACTCAAGTCAAGTCACATTTATATATAGAGCGCTTTTTACAATACAGAGTGTTTCAAAGCAGAGTTTGTTTCCAGAAGAAAATAGCGTCAGAGTCCAGCTTAAGTAAGTTCAGTGATGGTTCATTTCTGTCGTAAAAAAATTATTAATTTAGTTCATTTATTACGGAAGCGTATTGCATTCACTTGAGGAAAAAAATCTACTCTGTTTTTCTGAATCAACGAGTTAATATCTCAGAATTACGAGATAATTTTTCATGGAAAAAAGTTTTTGCTCTGTTTTTCTGAATTAAAGAGTTAATTATCTCAGAATTACGAAATATTTTTTAATGGAAAAAAAGTTTTTGCTCTGTTTTTATGAATTAATGAGTTTTTGAGATAATTTTGAGACAATTAAGTCATTAATTCAGAAAAACAGAGCAAAAACTTTTTTCCATGAAAAATTATCTCTTAATTCTGAGATAATTAACTTGTTAATTCAGAAAAACAGAGTAGATTTTTTTCCTCAAGTGAATGCAATACGCTTCCGTAATTTATATATATATATATATTGCCGCTCTGGAGAAAACCGTGATGGCATCGTCCAGCTCAGTTCTCATTTAATGCTGTCAATGCAGGCAGATCAATAATATTGCTGAATATTAAATTAAATGTTAAATTTGACTCAGCAAGCCAAAAGCCAGGCAAAAAAGGTGGAAAAAGGCGACAGTGGCGAGGAACCAAAACTACATCAGTGACAGAATGGAGAAACCAGTTCTCCTCTGGCCAACTGTAATTATGATTATGATTATGATTCAGGCAGCATTACAGGTCAGAGGTCAGATTAGATCAGAATATTAATCAGTTCCATCTCTAGGTCCATTTAGAAAGATTTATTTTCTGCCTATGGTAATATTACACTTTTTATGACCATTTCTTACACACTGAACTCTGAAAAAAACAAGGGAATTTGATTCCTGATTTGATTCCCCCTTCAGTAGAAAAACAGCATTAGGTGAATCTCATTATACTTCAAAATGTTCAATGACGTCTGCATTACATTTTTCACACATTAAATTGTTTTAGTAACAAAATATCTGTAGGTAAAAATGACTGTTTACCACTATGCATTGTTACATTGTGTGTTACTCTTAAAAAAGTCATTAATTACTAGCTATTAATTATTCAACAGTGCAATTAGATATCTTTACTAATTACTCTCTCTATAAAGTATTGCATTACTAATTACTTTCTAAATCCCGCATCAACCTCGACCAGTTGAACAATACAGACATGAAACTGCCCTTTAATTCTTTCAAATAAATAATAAAAAAATTGCATGAATTATTCTTTAACTGACCAAAGTGTTTAAAAAAGAGAGAAGGTCACATTAAAAACATACATTTTAATGTTAGACGTTACATTCTGATGTTACTCTTGTTTAATATAGAATTGTTGTATAGTCTATACAGTATTTAATGTAATTACATCAGACGTAACTGTAATTAAACTACAGAAAATTCAAAAGGAATCCCTTACTTTACTTTTTCAAGAGGAAATTAAGTAAATTACAATAATTAACACTGATAGTAGGGTATACAAATGTAAATTATTAATATATTTGGTAAAAAAAAAAGAAAATTAGTTTTTTATTTTTTTTACATTAACATTTTAAATCTAATTTCTTACAGGGGCTGTTTGGTGGAAAATATGTATTTTCTGATGGGAATAAGGCCACCCTATTTAAACAGCCTGAAAGTAAATGGCTATTATTGAGATGCGTTAGGCTATAAGCTGAGAAAACACCTAACCTGGCCTTTAAAACCAGTATTCACTGCAAACACTGTAATACCACAACCGTTCAAAAGTTTGGGGTCAGCAAGACTTTAACTTAAAGGGGGATTTAATACTTTTATATGGCAAGGGTACATAAAAATCATCAAAAGCTTTTACATTTAAAATATTTCTATTTCAAATAAATGCTATTGTTTTGAACTTTCCCTTCATCACATAATCCTGAAAATACTTCTTATGGTTTCCACAAAAAGGGTTTTCCACATTGATAATAATAATACTGAATGTTTCTTGAGCATTAAATCATATAATAATGACTTCTGACGGATCATGTGACACTGAAGACTGGAGTAATGATGCTGAAAATACAGCTTTCATCACAGGAATACATTACACTATCAAATAGAAAACAGTATTTTGAATAAATTGTTTCACAATATTACAGTTTTGACTGTATTTTTGATCCAATGAATGCAGAGGCTTCTTTCAAAAACATTGTTTTTACCAGCGCCCAACTATTGAACGGTAGCGTAAATCTCGAAATGCATGAGCTTCCCCAGTGAACTCGTGTTTATTCCTCTATCCCGGAGCGCCGTGTAATTACTCACATGCTGGAAGTGAGGAACAATGCGAGGAAATAGTAGCTGTCCGGACCCAGCATCAACATGACCACGGCCGCTCCGGCCTCCACGTAGAAGCTGATCAGGATCAGTCTGTAGTAGCCCAGCTTCTGGAGGAGGTTCTGGCTGCACAACACCAACACCTGCAGAACAACACATGCAGAGGCGCGTCAGGGCGGTGCGACCTCTTTTACTGTCTATGGTCATGACCACGGGACTATCTGACTGTCGGCGGTGCGACGCACTTCAGGTCTGCTCAGAAGTTTGCACACCCCTTGCAGGATATATGCATTAAACAATCTTTTTTAACATAATAATAAAAATGCACACCCCTGGCATCGTCTTTAGCATCGGTTAATGTTTGAACCTTTTTTTAATAGTTGTGTTTATGTCCCTCAATTGTTGGCAGTGTGAAAAGATGGATCTCAACCGCCCGGAGGAAAGTTTGGCTGATTCCCAATCCATACTTAAAGGCACAATATGTAAGATTTTTTTGGCCACAAGAGGGCGCAGTTTCCAACAATAACAAAGGCGTAGGTTGATGACGCAGTGATGAGCTGAATGATGGGACTTGCTGTCAAGCTGATGGATCTAATAATGTTTATGGATGAGTGCAAACATTCATATTTTTTAACATTACAGTAGTATGAAGCAGGTCGCGATTGCTAAAGAGACAGATATCACACGCGAGTCCCGCGGATATAAAGGAATAAGGACATTTTAATTCTACCGAACTACTCGCAAGTGCTGGATTACTCACACACGTGTGAGGTAACGCAGCGCTGCTTCACTCGGTATAACGTTACACTATCACACTAAATGCCATTTGAGTGTGTGTTGAAAGTTATAATGTTATACTACGTGTTAGTTCGTTTGCTATACGAAACTAGCAGTAAGCTAGATCAACATTAGAATAACATACTGACCATATTCTAACATTTCATCATGTTGAGCTAACGTTATATAACATCGATTTGTTTTATGTACATTCGCTCACCTGTCTAATAAAGCTGTCAAGTCGTGACTTGTGATGCTCTGTCGAGTCCAAGTTAGCCGCGGACGCTAGCTCTCGGCATCTCAAAAACGCCACGCTGATATTGATCCTCATTTTAGTTCTCCTTGTTTGTCCCAAAGTCTGCTTGCCATGGTCTATGTTTAGAAACAAGAACTGCGTGCCGCGCAACGTTACGCACTACGCAGTTGTCCACGTCTGTCGCCATGGTTACGTCAGTACGAGCGGAAACCGAGGATAGCGCGGATATTGCGTCATTGACAGGCGACATTTTTTTCCGGGACGGCCACTTATTTAATTTTGGAATTTCTCTGAAATAAAAAATCTTTGGAGACTTTTGGGATATTGTAAGTACACAACTGCAGGAAATATATCACACTGTGCGAGTGATTTTGGGATATTTTATTAAAAAAATCTTACATATTGTACCTTTAATTACTAAAAAGATAAGAAAAGTTTCCTTTTGAATTGTCCGTCGTGTATATCCTGTCAATACCTTCTTAAAGTAGTTCAAAAAAGATATTAACACAAACTTCTTTCTTGTAAGCACTCAGAGACTAGACGTTTATTTTGGTTTTGCCATTACTCTACATTACTGTGGAAAGACTTTTCCCTATTAGTTATTGAGAACGATGATACAGATTTTTCTCTACTTTGGGGAAATGTTTTGTTTGGAAAAGTTAATTGAAAAAAAAAAGAGCTTTTACACACAAACTAAATAATTTATACACAAATGTACATTTTCAGGTCTTTATGTTTTGCTTGCTAATGTACAACATTACTTTGGGACTATCTCTAACTCGTGTAAAAAGAAGGCTTTAAAAACAATTAAAATATGCAAGTCTTTTAATATTTTCCTTTGATATGTGATCTATTATGATTACCCCTGTTTTTCCTTTTTTTTGTTTATTTTTTTTCCATCTTTTTCCGTGTTTAGTTGTTCTAATTATTTTACTGTTTCCTTCTTTGCTTATTTATATAATTAATTAAAAGTTCTCAATAAAAAAAAAAGAGGTGTCCGTTCCACACTTCATTTTTTTGGTTAATTAAGTGGATTTTCAGTGTGAAATCACACTGTTTATACTAAAACCCCCAGCATAGAATAGTGCATAAGTACGTGAATTGTTTCGGGATGTGAATTTGTACATTGATTTGTATCTCAGAGTGTGTTCACACTTGTAGTTCGGTTGCCTTGGTTCTGAACCGAAACAGAAAATGATACATTTATTCACATTTTTGTTCAAACCGTCATTTTTAACACCAAACCTAAAGCTTTAAATAAGCTATATTTTACCAAAGAACTTACCGAACATACAAGGTAATGCTGTGTGCTGGGATAAATGCACTCGTTGTATGTGCGTATACAGTATGATGGTATATTGACCAGCTGAGAACGAAGATCTGCCGTTCTGATGCCCGAACTGTGATGGGAAACATCTCGACTGTGACGAGAAAAAACAGGTGTTTTTTAGGGTCTCATCTTCCTGATTTTGGTCCGTTACATTGAGTTAGGGACAGAATCTCAAGCACACCTGTTTTTCCTCATCATAGTCACGATGTTGGTTCGGTACAGGATCAGAACTGCCTCACAGTAGATGTTGTTTTGACTCCTTTACACATTTTATAAGCTTTTCATGAGTTCTCAACTGGACAAAATATCATCATATGTAGCTACGCACATACAATGAGGTCATTTGGCCCAAAACACAGCATTGTTTTGGTAAATGCCGTCACAAAATCGGGAATGTGTCATAAAAAAGCAGACCAATCAGGTTGTGAACGACTCCCTATGCCTTTAGGTTCGGTATATTTAGGTTCGGTGATAAAAATGCCAATCTGAACACTAAGCGGGCCAGGACTGAAGGTCCGAAACCAAGCGAACCCAAGTGCGAACACACCCTTAAGGTGATGACACATGGGGCAACTTTTTGAGCAATGTTGGTGGGCAATGAAAATGAGGCAAATTGAAAATGGGGAATACATTTCTATCTGGATACTTTAGATCGGTCGCGGGCCAAACTGGTTGATGGTAACATTGCTCAAAAAGTTGCCCCGTGTATCATCACCTTCAGTGATGATGATGAGAGCTATAAAGACCTTTCTATCCCTCAAACAGGGGGGGTTTATTCAAATCCAAGTATGAAGGACAATATGACCGCCTGGACCACAAAACCAGTCACATGGGTTAATTTTCTTTTAATTAAGATGTATATATCATCTGAAAGCTGAATAATAAGCTTTCCATTGATGTGTGGTTTGTTAGGATAGGACAATATTTGGCCGAGATTTGAACATCTGGAACCTGAGGGTGCAAAAAAAATCTAAACATTGAGAAAATCACCTTTAAAGTTGTCCATCTCTGTTCGCGATTGTGCTGCATCCACTCACAAAAATAAATGCTACGGTAGGAAATCTACAAAATATCTTCATGAGACATGGTCTTAATATCTTAATGATTTTTGCCAAAAAAGAAAAATCGATAATTTTGACCCATGCAATGTATAGTTGGCTATTCCCACAAATACACCCGTGCGACTCGTGACTGGTTTTGTGACCCAGGGTCGCATATTAGTAGCAGTAGCAGTCGATGACGCACCTGAGGACAGATGAATCCCGCTCCATACATGACGCTCTTGGCAAGCGGCGGCAGGACGTCCTGAGGAATGAGATGCTCTGCAAAAATCAGGGTGAAGTTACTATAAAAAGCCAGCAAGAACACCTGGAAAAAGTTCATGATCACAAACAGCTGGAAGTCTCTGTTGGTGAGGATCTGCCAGGTCATGGACATCACAGAGGACACCGAGAGCGAAGGAGAACTCTCCTTTCCCTCCGGGGCTTTACAGTCGAAGCGACTCTCGCTGTGCAAGCCGGTGTAGAGCATGCAAACGCAGGCCAGCGCGGCCACGAACACGCTGAAGCCCTGGAAGACGGCGAAGCGCTCCATGTTCTCGGACACGAGGCCGCTGAACAGCACGCTGGACGAGCCCAGCAGAGACGCCACCTGGCTGTATTTGATCAGCCTCAGCCGGCTCTGGTGGTGTCCCGAGATCTCCGCGAAGAGCGCGCACTGGGCCAGCAGCACGAACGTGAGCAGGCCGTCGAACGCACACAGGGTCACGGTGAGGTGCACGCCGCTCAGCCAGTCGTGCTCCTCGTACGCCCTCCAGGGGAACCAGGCCAGCAGGAACGACAGGGCGTACAGCGGCGCCCCGTACAAGATGGAGAGCCTCCGGCGCGAGCAGCACTGCAGGCCCGAGTTGTCCTGAAGATACCCGAACACCGGGTCGTTCAGCGCATTCCAGATCATATACACAACCTGTGCGGAGACAAAACGGGCTCTAAATTAGCATCGTGTTGCTTTACTGGACAGTCAAACCTAAACCAAACCTTCGACATTTCTCACATTCTCACAGTTCTGTCGGGACCACTATCGTCAAATACGATTGACAATTAGCATAGAGTTAGGATTGGCGGTATGGTTCAGTTCAGCGCATACACGTAGCCTAGCATGGATAAGAGCAATAACCCCGCTTAGGGTAAACAGAACACAACCAACATGGATGTTTTGCAGATATCATTAATTCAAGATTTTAAAGTACAACATATTTTGAGAATTTATTCTGATTCAAGGGGAATCCTGACTGGGCGAGAGGTGGAGCTGGGGAGGGAGGAGGGTAACAGCTCCTGAGAAACTGATAATACTGAAGGACCAGTTTCAAACCACCGAAACTAACTCAAAAACACTTTGATTTTAGCTGGTTAGTTAGCCTGAAGAACATTTCCCTTCCTTGATTTGGCTTGACGTACATCAGGGCGTTCAGGCGATTGCAGTCGCTGGCCTGTTTTGATGGTTTTCGAGAGGTTTAGTGTTGTAAAGTGGCGACGCTGAAAGACCAGCTAAACATTAGCTAGACCAGCTAATCTGGGTTGTTTGCTTTGGAAATATTCACTTTACTCTTTATTATCCAATACAGTACATGTTTATAATAACGACAGAAAGTATTGCTGATGGATACGCATGCCTATAAGCTGAATTTAAAGTTAACTGAAGTTGCGATAGTGTTTTCTTCTCTATTGTGACGTATATCCGCGTGAAACGGCTTCTCGAACAAGAAAAGGTGTGTAGGGCGGGACTGGTTTTGTCCATGGGGATTTGTTTGGAGAGCTATTGGTGTGATGTAATGCAAGGCTGCCAATTTTTGAGTTCAGCTTGGAGAGAGAATAACAGATTGGAGGAATGGATATTCGAGTAAAAATAGAATGAATATGTAATATATTGCAGATATTTAACAAAATATATTTAGCTAACTATGCTAGTATGGTCATTAAATGGCTTTCCTGAGGTAAATATAACATTACGTGACATTGTTTAGAAGCTGATTCTTCTAAGATGAGTCTTAGATTACTTTGGAAATGTAATAGGTTACAGATTGCAAGTTACCCTATTTAAAATTTAATTTTTAAGGCATTTAATTTAAAATTACCTTAATAAAGTAATGCAATTGATTACTTTTCTGATGTAACCCCCCTTTGTAATCGTTAACATTTTCATAAGTAACTGCAATTTAATTACACACTTTTTTTTCTATGATTGTGACTCTACTAAAAACAACGCTTGCTTTGTTAACAATTTAATGTATCGTCTTTATAACCACAAATGTAAGTTTTCCAAAAAACAAACCAATCTTTCTTGTCTTTTGAAAGAACTTAAAATAGAAGAACTTTCTCTTCTGTAAAAAAGAAAAGCAAGTAAAACGACTTCAGTTTGCAATGATTTAATTTCTATAATTGATGTATGAATTAATATCTTACACTCATGTTATTTTTATCTGTCTTCTTTTCTCTTTTTATTTTTTAAATCTTTTTCAGTCTGTAGCCAATTGTTGTAAATCCTCCTCCTCTATCTTCTGATGACATTAAACATACAGTTGATACTTTTTGTGTATTGTACACAAAGTTGTATATTATGAACATGCCATCTTTGTTTTGTTTTTTTGTTTTGTTTTGTTTTTTTAAAGAAGAGAAAGATGTCTGCTAAAGAGCAGATCTGGAAAACATGTACTGTTGTTCTACAAACATCTGATAAACGTCTTAGAAAGAGCAGTTTTACACTCTAAAATAAATCATAAACATCTTAAAGACATTTTCTGAATGTCTATTTAACGTCTGGCAGGAAACGTCTTAAGAGACATATTGCAGATGAACAAACACCCAAAAATAAACATCTCGCAGATGTAAATGTAGACATCAAGTAGACGTCTCCGTGACGTAGGTGTGCTATCAGGCTTCTGATTGGCTGAAAAGCGCCGGCCGCTCCTCCAACGACATTTAAAGATAATAAAGATAATAGTGCTTGCAGGTGTTTTTAATGTTTCAATTGATAATAACACATAAACTGTATTACGGGGGGGAAAAATAGTCTACTACAGCAAGATCAATTTAGGAACATGTAGGCTATGTTAAAACTTGTGAAAACTCACCTGTGACTGGTGGAAGGCTGTCTCTGATATTTTGTACCTGTTCAAGAAAAGCTTTACGTAGTAGAAACTAAACATGCTGTTCATCATGGCAGAACCAAGCGTTGTCATGGAGTAAGCCAAAGCAGCGGGATTATGAGCTAAGAAGGACCTCATGATTCTCATAACACGGATGTTTGACGTGCAGGAATTGTTTGTCCACAAAAGGACAATGCAAATGCAAAGAAACTTGACACTATTATAAAACTCATGCAGTCGTAGCTTATTAGTTAATTTCCCCAAACCCTATCAAGGGAATGTCGACAGAAAAAATAAAACGATTTTGAAAAACTATCCATTCCCAACTGAGATCATTTTTAAAACAGAGGTACACATTTCCTGGTATTCCGATGTGGGCGTGGCCACATAAGACCCCGCCCCCCGTCCTCTGATTGGCCAGCGTGAAGATCCGTTGTTGTTATCCTCGCGTCCTCTCTTCACTCCAGTTGAAGTCTGACTCTGCCACGTTGCTGTAAACACCGGTTCACACCGCTAGGGATTGAACCCCTGAAAGCCTCAAAAGCCCGGCTCACCGGCGTCTATCCATCAGACAAAGGGCGCTGATGCCTTAAAATAACCAGGAGAAGAAACTAACCGTGCGCTTCCAGTCGGCGAAGCTTTGTTTGCAGTCGAGATGCTGACGGACGTGATAGTAGAGGAGGACTTTGATCGCAATGAGGATGATATGTGGTACAGCAGGAAGGATCTGGAGCACGGTAAGACTCATTCACTAGCAATGCGCACATATATAGCACGTTAGAAAGATGGTAGATACCTGTGCTTCTCATAAAAAAAGCATTTAATTACAAATATTGCCATTCATTTAAATACAGCCTGATTGTAACACATTAGAAATGCATGGATAAGGGCATCAACGGGGATATGATTTGACTTTCTCGAAGGTCAGGTGATATATTATCTTGTAAATCTTGAGTGAAATGAATGAAAAATGTGTTCTTGTTAGTAGGGCAGTGTTTAAGCTGTCTATCTGAAGGTCACGCCCATATAAACCCCTTTAAATGCGCACTCCTGACGTCATCAGCCGACGAGGATACATCTTTTATACTTCAAGATGTTTGGTTTTAGTATATTCGTCATGTCACAGTGTATTGAATATTAGTTGGTTAAACTAAAACCTGTGAAGAGGAAACTGGAGAAAAAAATGTCCAAAAAAAATACAGTGTCACATGTAACGCATGCAGTGAAATGTGTATACTATACATACACCATTTTGGGTTCATTTAAAATAATGGGTTTTTTTCTTTCTTAGTGTGAAGAACATATAATCTAAAAAAAGAAAAACAGTTTTCCAGGATAAAGAACCTTTTGTGCATTGAAAAGGTTCCATGGAATGTTTAAGGTTCTTTGTGGAACCGTCAATAAAGAACCTTTATTTTTAAGAGTGATGGTGATTCTTCTCCATGTTTGTTTCCTAATAAATGCCTAACAAATATGAAATTCCTCAAAATCTGACTGCAACTTCATGTCCATTATAGTTTTTTTTATTATCATTTAGATGTACATTTTCTTATTTCACTCTCAATTTAGTGTTTTATTGTTACTTTTGCATTTGGCAGATGCTTTGTCCAGAGCAACTTTCATATGTAAAGGACCCATTTTAGTAGCATATGTGTGTGTTTCCTGGGAATCAAACAAACCCATGACTGGCATTGCATCATGCACTACCAGTCAAACTACTAATTTGAGGACTGCTATTGTGAATCATCCCTAAAAAGTGATGCTATTGTGGAAAGACTTGGTTCCCACCGCTGGGTTTGGCAGGATAACGCCCACTACGTCTATACTCGATGTTTACTGTCTTCTCCGTCTGTGTTCGGGACAGATCTCCATTTGGCGGCTGAGCTGGGCAAGACTTTGCTGGACAGGAACCATGAGCTGGAGCAGGGCCTACAGCAGATGTACTCCACCAATCACGAGCAGCTGCAGGAGATCGAGGTGACGCTTCTCACAACACACACCACTTCTGTTCCCCTGTGGCACAGATTGTGTACGGATGGGATTTGAAATGTCCTTTTGTGTTGTGTAGGTTGTAGAGCTGTCCTGCATTGTGACCTTATGAATAATAATGCAAGCAGTTTTTATGTTCTCATATTAATTGAAAGACTACATGGCATATTTGTCACCTAGTTGGATTGTTGAAACGAACTAGTGGAGCTGATTTAGGGTACGTTTAATGATGAACTAAAAATGCGTCCATTTTTCTTTTGGGTTTTTCATGCGAAAATGACAAAGTTGTCAAACCGATCAGCGTTCACACGGATCCTAGAAAGCGATTAAAAGCTGTATTATTCATGCCAGGCCAGTCGTTGGCGATGTCACTTTGTAAAGAAACACTACGTGTCTATAGACTGAACACGTAATGCAGACAATAACAGTATATTTTCAAAAACTTGCACTTTGAATCCCGTTTTCACAAGTTTGCATTTGCAGGCCCCCAAAACGCTGTTGTAGTGTAAATGAACGAATGAAGTTTTCCGTTTTTAAAGTCCACCTGTGGTGAAAATCAAGCTTTTATTGTTGTTTATATGTCTATGTGGCGTTTTTAATATGGCTTAAGATAAACCGTGAACAAATTCATAAGTCCACACCATATTTTCTCCTTAAAACTGCAGTGAACCAAAGACAGTCTCAAAAACGGGGTTTGAAATAGCTGGTGTTTCTGACGTCACAAACGACCTTGTAACCAATCAGATCAACGTGTGATCGTCAACCAGTGGATCTCTGAGCTGGTGTGAGTGCGTGGAGGCGGGGCTCATTTGCATATTCATACCACGCATACTAAATGAGGCAAGGGTGTAGAGTTGCGTTCAAGCTATTTTAAGGCATGAAGAATTATTTTCTAGGGAAAAAAACGCTTAATTTTGGTGATCAAAGATGAGTTTTAAGGCATATAATGATTGACTACAGGGGCACTTTAATAAAAACGATGTTGTGTAAATAGCCCCTAAAATGGTGGGAAACTTAAAAGAAATGGAGGCCAGTTGCTGGAGCTAAGAATGCAATTATTTACATGACATTGTAACCTAACATCTTGAAACGGGCACATTGTCTGACTTTCATCCACTAGAAAAGTAGAAGTTTGTTTGGTAACACTGTCTCTGTACTCGTAAGAACTGGAAATGCGTAAACAGCGGGAGATTTCCTGTTTGATCCTCTTTCCTCCTCCTCACGCTGAGGACATCGTGCAGCGGGACTTCTGCTATTTCTGACACCGTATCTGTGTCTGGCATGACCCCAATCGTGAGATTTGTGGTGTCATTTGGCTAATGGCCTGGCTTGGCAATACGGTCTTATGCAATTGGGTTTCTAGTGTGTGGAATGGCGTACTATTCTTTTTTTATTATTATTTGTAGTGTATATAGAGCATGTATAGTATGCTCAGAATACGATGACCATCATGTTTGCACAACATGTGCAGTATATATACGCTTGACTGAACCTTCTGTGGTTTCCATTGTTACAAATAAACCCAAAATAATTACAAGCATCATCTGATCAATCGACCATTTCCATTATTTGATCCGACTACCTCATTCAGAAGTGCTAAATGCACTTAATTGCATTTATTTCCGAGATGAAAACTGGACATGATAACTTTCACATGCCCTGTGATGAAGTTGTGTGACACAAATGTAGCATATGAAATGTTTATTGTTGCATAATGCACTTTGATGTGCTACTTAAACAGTATATAGTGTGCATCACATCTCAAGCATTAGTGTCTAACAGAAAGTTTGGCTTTAATGGAAAGTAGCTGCTGATTGGTTAATGTTCACTTGATCCTGGCTTTATAACTGTCATCTCTCTCTAGCCAAATATTGACTTCTCAGAAACAATGCAGTGAGAAGTGTTTAATTGCAACATGAAGTCACTCTTCCGTCTCATGTAGTGAAACATTTACGAAAGAGCGGGGAAGCGTTTGCACAGTCACTAGTGCATTTGGTTGTGAAATGTCATTGTAACTTGTGAGTTTTGTTGCAGTTTTGTGCCTGTGGTTCAGCAACAGATGCTTTAGAGCATCTTTAGCATTGGCTAACTCTAAATTATGAAGTCTATTGTATACTTTCAGGGTATACTTTCATAAATGTCCAAGATGGGAGCCCAAATGTAGTGTCTTCCTGTGCCACTAAGCAGCAACAAACATATTTGGTCAACCATGCTCTGCACGTTAGGCTGGGAAACATCTCAAAACTGAAGCTTTTGATATTGATTGGAGAAAACATTGGAATAGAGACAGGGGGGAAAGCAAACTTCTGGAAGGGGGCATCAAAATAACTTACAATTAATTAAAAGAACACAAAACGAGCATTAAAATAAGCTAAAAACACAAGATATTTGTCATTTTAATTAACCATCTTTTGCTTCTTTTGAAGAACCAAACATCTGGAATCATCTAATGCAATAATTTATTTTTTACAGAAACTAGGAGTGCCCATCCATAGAATAAAAATACATTTCTAAAAAAAAAAAAAAAAAAAAAACCTAGGGCTAGCATAAAATATATCTAGGGAGCACTATTAAAATGTTAGTGTTTCTGCTCTCATGAGACAAGAGCATGAGACTAGTCTATGACAAGGTCTTTGGGAAACTTTATAGCCAAATAAAAAGTTGCTAAATTGTATATTATCAGCTATATAATTGTGAATATTCAAAATACTACCAGCTTTAGACAGTGTCTGTTGTGTGTAAGTGCATATTGATCTGTCTGATAAGCAAATATTTGAAGTAGTGTTGTCAAATGTACCGACTTCAGTACCAAGTGGATACTGAAATTGAACAAATGTGACGCTTTGAGCACTGTTGAGTGGAATCGTAAACACCTCTGATTGGCCATTGTGTTCACGCGCTGTCTGTGATTGGCTACAATAGTCAGCGATTTAAAAACATGTTGTAAATATAAATCAATGACGCTCTTCACCGAGTGCTTACACAGATACACACGGGAGCGTTTGAAAGCAGGCGTCCGAGTTATTGACTATCCGACTAATTTGAAGGCTTGTGTCTGTATTGCCTCTTGCAGTACCTGACCAAGCAGGTGGATCTCCTGAGGCAGATGAACGACCAGCACGCCAAAGTTTATGAGCAGCTGGACTTAGCGGCGCGAGACCTGGAGAAAAGCAACCAGAGGCTGGTGCTGGAGAACCGGACTTCCCAACACCGGATCGAGAGGTGAGGACGAGTCCGAGTCCAGGTCTCCCCTTTTCCACCAAAAAAGAACTGGTTTGGAACTGGTGCTGGTTCAAAGTTGGTTCGGAGTTGGTTCAACTTGCGAACCTTCTCAGAACCTGTTT